AAATAGGCTTTTATTTCCTATAATCATTGTCCCTATATAAAAAACAGAGCAACAAATAAGGCCACTATCCTAAGAATTCGACCCATGAAGAAATGCGCCTTCGCTGCAAGGTTGCTCTCTCCTATTGCAATAGTCAGCATCATCTTCCTATAATAGTACTGTATTAAAGTATTTTGAGCAGACAATATTGATGAAAGTGAATTTATGCTAGTTGACGCGAACGGAGTTTAAGAATGGACTCCTTAAATAATCCGTTTGAAGAGAGCCCTTTTGTAAATTAAAAAATGACCCAGCTGACCGTTGTGCTGCATAAGTATTTTTTGCCATTGGAGAATGTGCTCAAGATTCAGCCTTAAGTATGATATTAAGACCACTCAACAAGGCTAGGAACTAGAAATAAATTAATAAATATATAATATTGAAGTGCAAGACTTATCGCAATATCAATTATAATACAGATACATTAGACAATTAGCTCTTAAAAGAGTAGCTGGTAAAAACATTCCATTATTTCCCATCAGACCACAATCTATGGTATTCCGCGACCTGCACCAGTCAACTGTTGTGCCAAAATTTTTTTCCAAATGGAGCATTCAATTCAACAATCACAAGTTGCCAACTTCCAGGTACCGCAAGGCTGTTGCTGTCTCTGCCAGTGTTTCTGTTCCCCACAGCCATTTATGCAGAACGCAACAATGGCTCCAATGATTCATGAAGAGACCATGCAGATGCCTGTGAAAGCGACGATCGAAGAGAGTTTGCCAATGAACTCAACGTCATGCATCTGCTGCTATTGTTGCAGCTATCAGCCTCACGAGGTTACAGCGACGAATGGCAAAGCCTACGAGGCACCGCTTCCTCCCGAAGTACTGGCTGGACAGCCTTGCCTCATATATCAACATCCGTCCGAAGTAAGGATTAACTATACACGCATCCCAGTAACCAATGTCCAGGCTCCGTCATCAAAACCAGTCATGAAATTATGCTGCTGCTGCTGTAATAAACACCAGAAGCAGCAAGCACAGGCACAGCAGATGTATGTAACC